TTCGATCAACGACGTACTGACGTCCGATTGAGGGGTGGATGATTTGGTGGTCTCACTGACAGGCCGTCGTCCCCCTTCCTACTGTACACACTGCAAGTACATAGACGGGGCAATATCAGGAACAAAGATGGACGTTCGCGGAAGAAGAGAAGAAGTCGTCGACAGGCGATATTCACCGGTTATTTACAGGGAGTACATTGATGGAGGGACGGGGCGAGCGGTGAGTGGTCGTGGACTTGTGAGGATGGTATTATCAAAACGGGCGAGACGGAAAGGGGGCCAATTGGACGCTCGTCGTCGGTCGTTTTTTGGGGTGATGATGCGGTGGAACATTCATGTGAAGCATCGGCCGGGGGAAATGACGGGGCTCAAGCGGCCCACGATGTTGCTGATGATGCTCCTTGGTATGTGAGATGCGCTGGCAGTTTTTAAGTCACGGAATGGCTTGGCCATCTCACCCATCGTCGACAGAGGAGTGGGTGTGGTGTCTGTCATGCATATCGTGGTGCTCGGCGAAACTTGCTTGGGTTGAAGCGACTCGCTTCAGTGTGGTTCATCGCGAAAGGCCAGCAGGGAGGAGAGGGGGGAGGGTAACCGAGGTGCAGATGCAAGCATGTCGTGAGAGAAGCAACATGAAGTGATGAGCACCCAGCGTGGAACGTCCCAAATCATTTTCGGTCATTTTTGTCCGTTTGTCTTCCGTCTGCCGTTCGCATCTCATTTGTGTTCGTCTCGAGACACTCAATCCATCCATGCTTTGACGTAATTTCTTCTTGCTCCTCGGCTGACCTGCGGACCTACCTGACATTATCTGAGGAACCAGCTTCCTGTCGGATTGGAGTCTCTGGCAACGTGGTCCTCTGGAAAACAGTTTGACGTCCGAGAAGAAACTGGTGAGGCGGTACACCGTCGTTTGAACCTTGTTCCTCGTCAATCTGGACAATCCGGGGTGCCTCTAACTAAGGTACGCTGCCCGGGATTCACAAGCTGCCCAGTGGCAGGGCAAAGCCAAATTGTTGAGCGAAGCCAGGGGGGGCTGGTTTGTCCTGACCCCGGCACAAGCAAGAGAGAACCAGATTCCGAAGTAGTTCATGGGTGCTTTCAGGTTTCAAGCCCTTCCTAGCCAGGTATTGTGCATCGTGCACCGGAGCTCATCCGCGATGCCGGTGTGGTGCTGGTGTTCTGGGTTTTGCCATTTCATCATGAAGGAAAAGGGTGGTGCGAGAGCAAGGCCAGAGGCGATGACGGCATGTGTCATAATGGCCAATGAAGTGGCCCTCGAGAGTCTGTGTTTCTTCTTAGCGGACGTAGACGGCAGTAGCCATGAATTACCTACCGTAATTAGGTACCTACCTGAGGGACCTAGGCATGTTCAGGGCAACACAAAGCAGCAGAAAGGGCTGGTTGTTGGGTATCTAATTCCGAGTCACGATTCCATCATCGATCATGACCACTCAGGGTACCTTAACAAGGTGCCTCTTGCCGCAGCGACAGGACAGGTGCCAGTTGCTGCACGTGGTGGGCTGGAGACACCTGGACGGTCACAGTGCGTCATAGACGTCGCTACACAAGCCCCTCTTCCTTGGGTGGGTAGTAGCAGACCCCGCCGCCGAACAAACAGCAGGCTGGGTCCGAAGGTCTGGGCGGGCTCCAGTGGATTGGGTGGCCGGCAGTAGGTCATCCGTAGGGAGAGGAACGCACAGTGGCAAAAGGGACCTGAATCCACTCCAGTCACGGCCCCTCTCCACCGCTCGTCGTAATCCATTGGACATTGTGAGTCGCAGGTGGGACTTTGGCAGCTGGCAATGACTTCGTACTCCCCTGCCCCTCCCCCCTCCTCCCCCCCAGACCTGGCCATAAACACGGTGGTGGCTCCCTTCCCCCACCCCCCCTGCCGGGGCAGGTCCGGCCCTGCGCTTCGGGGACCCAGAGTGCCTTTCCTGCCCCAAAAGCGAATCCCACCCACTCAATTCCCACACTTCCTCCACGACACGACACGACACGACCAGATCATCGGCAACAAGGAGCCTCAACCCACCGCACGCCCTTTCCAACCACGAAAAAAAACCCACGACGCCGCCGCGATTCAATCCTCCCACACTCTCATCGCCCTCGCCCAATGTTCTCCTCATGTCCAGCACGCTGCGCGACAATGAAAATGCCGCACGCCCTGCCCCTGTGAGCAGCATTGCGCCAGAAGCAGAACCAGATCGAGCCGGAGAAGCAACCGCACCAACGCCCACCCACCTGCCGGGCCCTGGCAACAGCCCTTTGCCCACCACCATCTCGCCTCCTTCTCCTTCTCTTGGTCCTCCGCCCCCTCCCTCCACGTCCGATGTGAATGCAGCCGCAGGGCAGGCGCAGGCACAGACCCAGACACATCCAGAGACCTGAGCTCAGGGGCCGTCACTCCCATTGCTACCCAACTGAGCCAGCCGGAACTCACAGCGGCTGGCCCACCCCCCGGTGCCTATCCAGAGACAGGCCTCCCAGATCTCCCAGACCCCCGGTTCGACCCCCCCAGTCACCATGCCGCCGCCCTTGATAAGAAGTCCCGGAGCCCTGTCCTCCCGCCGAGGCAGGCCGGCCCGTCGTTGCTTTCACAAGCTCTCGCTTCTGCCCGTGGCATCAGCCCTTCCGCCACCAACACCACCAACACACTACCCTCGTCAACCTCCCCCCATCACCGTCCAACACCATCACGAACGTCCACATCCACGACCACCGACCTCACCACCTCAACTCTACCGCCACCTGCCCTCGCCTCCGAACACGACACACCTCTCGACGAAAGAACTGACAATGTGCCTCTCATCGAAGGTGTAACATCGGAGAGCGCTCCCTCAGCCGCCATGATGGCGCCTTCGTCGACGACCGGCTCCAACACCATGGTGCTGCCGCCACCTGACACCAATACCATGTCGACCAGTTACGACATTTCAGGCTTTGACGGCGTCCGGGCCATGCTGCTCGACCACCGCGAGTTCCTCAAGGGGAACCGAGCTAGATGCTCTTCTCTCGAGCGCGTTCACGCTACACCGCCAACGGCCATCGAGACACCCAAGACAACACGCGCTCAATCCCACTCGACCTCTCCCGAAGGCTCGGCCACGCCACCCGCCACGTACCTTGATGCCAGGCTGGAGAAGGAAGATGTCCTGGCCGACCTGCGATCGACGACACGAAAGACCGACCACCGCCTCCAGAAAGGCCCCGAGAAGATATGGTCCATTGGTCACACGGGCGAGGCGGGCAACGGTGGAGAGGACGGTCAGGTCGAAAAGTCGGTCACCGAGGCCATGATGGGTGCCGAGCCGAACGGTCGCAGTCGCAAGGCCAGTTACAGTCTGCGCTTTTTCCGAGAGGGACTTCCCAAGGAGGAAAAGGGCCGCCGCAAGGACGTGCGAGGGGCGCTTCGCGATAAACCATCGCCCAGTCGTGAAGAGCCACCTCCTGTGCCATTGACGGCAGACATTGCCGTTGAAGACTTTGCGAAGCCCCCAGTCGCAACCCTGTCACCGAGGGCAGCCTCGCACGACGATACGTTGGCGCGCAAATTACCACGCGCTCGAACTTTTCCCATCGACACACCGGACAATCCAGTACTGAGCGAATCGCCACCGCAAGATTATTTTGGTCTTAGAAAGACACATGGACAGATCTTTGACGAAAGCGTCGACTCGCGCACCGGGAGACCCAAAGACGCTGATCCGGCTTCACCGCCCACACCGCACGACAAGGTTGGCGACGACATCGCCGAGCAGCCATGTTTTGTGGCTGACCGCCGCGGTTCTGGCGAGAGCACCGAGGTCGGAGATAGCCACGAGGAGGGCGACGAGTCGGGTGAGGAGAAGATATCCTCCGCCGTGTTCGTGCCCCACAAGGCGCCGGACGAATCGAGTGACACGGATAAAGACGTCGCAAAACCCAGACAACCAATGGGCACGAGGACCACGTCGAGGAAAGATTGGCTTGTGAAGGCGGATGAACCAGAACCCGAGGTTGATGACGATACGTCTGGGCCGGAGCGGGTGGTCGCCAAGGAGCCGCCGACCTCGAAGCGCGTGCCAGAGCCTCAGGTACCGCTGCGTGAGGTGAACTTGGACAGGCTGGACGAGTGCGTCGCCGACGATGTGCCAGAGGTAGAGACTCCAGTCGCCAAGACGGGAGACGAGGAGGTCATCGGCGAGCTCCCCAGCGAGGAACAGCCCGAGGTCGATCAGCTAGCGCCCAAGGAGGCAATAGAACTCATTCCCTACAAGCACCAGGTGGGCGGGCACACCACCCTCTGGCGCTTCTCTCGTAGAGCAGTCTGCAAGCAGCTCAACAACAGGGAGAACGAGTTTTACGAAAAGGTCGAGCAGCACCATCGTGACCTGCTGACCTTTTTGCCGCGGTACGTCCAGAGCAGTGGGCTGCGTGCCGTTATCATTTGTCACTAACAGAACCACAGGTACATCGGTGTGCTCAACGTGACCTTTCACAAGCAGCCCCGGAGGAAGTCGGTGCACAAAAGAGACGATGCTGCATCAGCCCTGGTGCGCCGAGCAACAGGCGAGAATGGGCTCAAGGTCGCTGGCGATGGCACTACCGTGGAAACCTTGAAAGACGACGCTGAGGTCAAACCCGGTCAGGAGCACCGACGAATCATTAGCCAGTCCCTAGCCGGCGCGTCGATTCCCATTCCGACAGTCACCTTCGACGACAACCGGCATATTCTGCCCCGTAACCTCCTCCAACCGTCGCCGCCGCCTGATCTCGTAAGATCTCGCAGCAGCTCGGTCGCTGCACCCAACACCCCTGAAGCTGCCAAGTCGACTTCGCCCGAACGGCCGTCCCTTGACGACAGACATGCCAACAGCTGGGGGGCAACAACTGTGAACAAGCGCCTGCGCAACGAGGTGTTCAACGACGTGTTTCTCAAACAACCAATCCCGGTTCACAAGCATCGACGCCCACACCAGCGTGGCATTCCCTTGCGCATGCACCAGAAGCTACGCCCTGCAACGTCCGACTCGGGCATGCTGGGTCGTTACCAACAAGAGAACGGGCAGTCTGGCGACCAACCTTCGTCGCCCCTGTCTGCCATGGAGCGAGCTCCTTCGCCACCGCCGATGCCTGCCCAGAGTCGCAGCGATCTGGGGCCACAGACAGAGGCTGTCGCAACGGATGGCGACGAGGCAGACACGGACGATGTGGAGGAGGTGACGGGCACCAGCGCGCCGGAGCCAGAGACGCTGGCGGACAGGATCATCGCCGATAAGAAGAAGCGTCGCTATTCAGGCAGCGCCTTGCGCCGCAAGCCCAAGACAGTCACGGAGTCGAGAGGTCATCTGAAGTACTGGGAGCCAGCAGACCAGACGGCCAGTCGAAACAGCAGCGACAGCGCCAAAGATGTACCGGAGCACCTGAAGGACCTGAGACAAGAGATGTCGACGGCCAATGGCTTCGAGAACGGACACGAATACGCCGAGTCGGAGAGACCTGTAGCGAACGGGGCTGTAGTTGATGAGCCTGAGCCCGAGGCCAAGGTTGAGCAAGAGCAAGAACAAGCTGTTGACGACCCCGCCATGTCTACGTCGCCGCAAGAGTTCCGCAAGATTCCGCGTCCGGTCAATCCCAAAGAAGCGCAGACGCAAGGCCAGAGCGATTCGCGGGCTGAATTCTTCCTCCTGCTGGAAGATCTTACGGCCGGCATGAAGCGGCCGTGTATCATGGATCTCAAGATGGGCACACGACAGTACGGCGTGGAGGCGACGCCCAAGAAACAAAAGTCGCAGCAGGGCAAATGCGCACGGACGACGTCGCGGGAGCTCGGCGTGCGTGTCTGCGGGCTCCAGGTGTGGGATGTCCGGACGCAGAGCTACGTTTTCAAGGACAAGTACTTTGGGCGCGACCTCAAGGCGGGCAGGGAGTTCCAGGACGCGCTGACGCGATTCCTGTACGACGGACTCGACACGGCGAGCATCCTACGGCATATCCCGACGATCCTCGCCAAGTTGGACCAACTCGAGTCGATTGTTCGGGAGCTCGACGGATACCGTTTCTATGCGGCGAGCCTGCTCATGTTCTACGACGGAGACACGACAGCGCGAGACGGCAGCGGCGGAGGCGGCGAGTACGACACGGTGGTGGACGATTCGACGACGGACTTTGCGACGGATACGGAGGAGACGAGCGCCCAGCGCGAGAAGCGGCGGCGCAAGAACAAGCGTGAGATTGACTTTAAGATTGCGGACTTTGCCAACAGCCTCACCAAGGGCGACGTCGCCGAGGGCAAGCCGTGCCCGCCGCAACACCCGGAACAGGCGGACTGGGGGTTCATTCGGGGACTGCGGACGCTACGGACGTATTTCCTCAAGATTCAGCGGGAGATCCGGGCGGACATGGGGCTCGTCAGCGCCAGGGGCGTGGACATGGACGGCAGGTTCGAAGGCGGGGAGGACGAGGGAGAGGTCAGCGAGTGAGCGAGGAACGAGGGATGGATGGTAGACGACAGCCAGCGATGGCAGGGCGTTGGTATGCTCTCCGCTGATGTGTTTTTTTGCGCTCTCCATCCGGTTGGCTCGGCTCGGCACGGCACGACATGGTACGGTCTGGTTTGGTTTTGCAACGGCGCTGGCAGGGGCGGGGGCGGGATCTGGACGGGGGCTGGTATTTCGACTCGCATACCCTGGCATGCATGGACGGCGTCTGCGAGTTTTTGTTTTGGTTTTTCTGTTTTATATCTTGGTAAAGGGGGGGTCAGTGTTACATAAAATGATATTAGACAAAGTTGGTCATTGGTGACGTGAGTGGGTGTCGTGAATGTGGGCTGCTTGCAAGACCATTCTCTCAACTTGGACACCTTATCCTAGGTACCTACGGTAGATACCTAGGTAGGAGAAGCCATTCGCAGGTGGGCCGGGGGCATGTCTGCGCGGCGGGAGCACATGTCGAACCGTCAATCTCGCTGAGCTAAGCACCAGATTACCCCGCGCCCCTCATCGGTCCTACTCGGGCACGTATAAGGTGGGTTCGGGAAAGAGCGACCTAGACTCTGAACTCAAGGTCCACGAACCAGACAAGCTAGAGGCATTGGCCTATGGGAAGCTCAAGACAAGAGAGGACGGATCGAGGGCGGGTGCGCCTGGTTCTCGACTATTCGTACTGTGCAGCCCGCCCACGCTTTCCGTCTCCGGCCACCTGTGACGCTGAAGAACGGCACTGTGAGCGGCACGACTGACGTACTATATGTACCTTCCCACGAGCACTACAGTACCTACCTTGCCTTACCCAGGTACCTTAGCTATGAATCAGACAGGGCGTGCCTCCGACGGGAAGCGGCGCCCCACTCGGGGACTGGAGAGGTCGGGGTTTGAATGCAGGAGCTGCTGGTGGTCGCTGCTGCCATGCGATGACTGATAGTCTAGAGAAAGGCTTGCACTCCGATGACTCTTTCTTCCAAGACGAATATCTTGGAGCACCATCCTCAAAACCTTGGACATCCGGTGTGAACTCTCCATCGTCCTGGAATACATACACCAGACACCCGAGCACCACCAACATTCTCTCGTCACGACACACTACAGGCCCGTGAACCTTACCAGGTCTCCGAAGGAAGAATGTCTGCCCCTCCCTCCGGCCACGTCCGCCTGGCGACAGCCTCGCCGGCCACGCACCCAGATGGCACAGCGGCCACTTTGTCCCAGCTCGAGGCCATTGCGCGCCGTGCCGCAGCCGACAAGGCCGACCTGCTGCTCCTCCCCGAGGCCTACCTGGGCGGCTACCCCCGCGGTGCCGACTTTGGTGCCATCATCGGCGGCCGCTCTGCCAAGGGCCGCGCTGAGTACGCCGCCTACTTCCGCCAGGCCATCGACCTCGGCGACGTCGTCGGGCCCTTTGCCGCCGGCGCCGGTGATGCCTGGCTGCGCCGCGAGCTACCCGCCTCGTCCCTCGACGAGAGCCAGACGGGCGGCGTGTCCCGCGGCGACGGCACGCGCGAGGCACTTGAACGCATCGCCGCCCAGACGGGCGTCTTCCTCGTCACGGGCCTCGTCGAGCGTGCCGGTGGCAGCCTCTACTGCTCGGCCGTCTACGTCGACCCGGCGCGCGGCGTCATCGGCAAGCGCCGCAAGGGTCATGCCCACGGCCACCGAGCGCCTCATCTGGGCCCAGGGCGGCACCGCCACCCTCAAGGCCGTCAGCACCGTCATCCGCGGCACCCGCGTCAACATGGCCGCCGCCATTTGCTGGAGAACTACATGCCCATGCTGCGCCAGGGCGCTTCTACGCCCAGAAACGTCACTGTACTCGCGCGACGACGATGCGCGCGATGCCTGGCTGTCGCTGATGCGGAGCGTCGGCTGCGAGGGCAGTGCTTCGTCGTGAGCTCCAACATGGCCGTCAGAGAGAAGCCTTCTTCGGGTGCAAGTGGGAACGGCGTCCAGCAGCAGCAGCAGCAGCAAGGCAACGGGGTCCGCGGACGACAGGGCTCCTGCATCACGGAGGAGGGCCACGAGATTGTCCTACCAGGAGACAAGAGCGCCAGCACGAGTCCGACGGGCGCCCGCAAGGCGCGCCGCAAGAGCGTCATGGTCGAGGATGGCCACGAGGTTGTCCTCGGCTGTGACGACGACAACGGCAAGAGTATGCCCGAGGGCCTCAAGCCGTCGGTGGACTGGACCAACGGCACCAAAAGGGCCGACGATGCCGCGTCAGGGTGGTCCTGCCGCGGCGGCAGCTCCATCGTCGGACCCTTTGGTGACGTTCTCGCCGGCCCGCAGTGGGAAGACGACGAGACCATCATCTATGCGGATGTCAACTTTGAGGACTGCGTCGGCGGGCGTCTGGACCTGGATGCTGGCAGCAGCTATTCGAGGTACGCTTGCCCTTTTGCTTCTGGGTCATTCGTACTTTGCTAACGTTGTACAGAAACGACTCGTTCAAGTTTTCGGTCGAAGGGCTGGATCTCGAGCCTTTACCTTATTACTAGGGGGAAGTGTGGGGTGTGTTTCGGCACGATTGGAGCATGTTTGACTGGATGTTTGTCTGGGAAATTAGGCAAGTTGGGAGGTACAGGATTTTATTTCGCCACAGTAGCCTGTCCTTGCTCTTGCGCATGAAGGACCAGAATCCCACGCAACCTGCCGTTCAATCTCCATTATCCTTTGGATTGATATCCCCAGCACTTACGATTGATATCCTGGAGTGAGCATGAAGGCAAACAGCACCACTATGGCGACCACAATCAAAAGATTCGTCTCAAGACTTCTCCTTAATGCTGATGATGTCTTCTAACACGGTACTGTAACTGTATACGTAGACCGCGCATCCCGCCAGAACCAACGCCGCGCACTGAACAAGCAGGAACGAAAGAAAACAGACATCCCTCCCCCGACCACCTTTCCACTTCATGATTTGCCATCAACCGTCCTCCCGTGACCCCGGTTCCGCTCTTTGTACCGAACCCCGAACCGTCCGACCCGATCAAAATGCAAAGGTATCATCACCGTGCCGTGCAGCTAGCGCCCGTCATCATCCCTCTCCTTGCCGCGCACGTCCGCCGTCGCCGCCGTCCTCTCCTCCATCGTCTCCTCGACGGCCGCCCTCTCCCGCGGGCTCACGAGCGGGCTCGCCACGCCGCCGATGCTACCGCTGATGCTGTCGGCGCGGCCGTGGCCCAGGAACCCGCTGCGCGTGCTGGCGCCGTCGCCCGGCGTCGCGCTGCTGTTTGGCGTAGAAGCTGTTGCGCTCGCTGAGCATGGTCGCGACGCCCGAGGTCGAGTAGATGCTCGTGCGCTCGGCGCCGACGCCGACGCCCTGCAGGCTGCGCGGGTTGTTGCCGGCCTGGTGCGCCGCGGCGGCGGCGGCGTGGTGGTCGATGTTGGCGCTGAGGACGCTGAGGGGCAGCGACTCGCGGCTGCCGCCCCAGAGGGACGAGGGCGCCATGGCGCGGACCGAGGCGTCCGTGTCGAAGGAGCGGCGGCGGCGGCGCTTCGACGACGAGGCGAGCGTCAGGATCGAGGCGTCGTCCGTCAGCAGGTTGTTGGCCGTCGCGCTGTTGTACGTCGTCGGGTGGCCGGGCCCCGTCGACGAGGGCGCCAGGTGGGAGGGGATCGCGGAGGCAGGCGATGCCGTCGGGAAGGGCTGGTGGAACTGAATCGACTGCGTGTGGCCCTGGTGGCCGCCGCCGCCGCCGCCGTGGTGTCCGTTACCGGCGTTGCTGGTCGTCGTTTGCGTGTTCGGCGCCATGGTCGATTGGATCGTCGTCAGGGTTGTTGTCAGCGACCGCACGGACGGCGCCGGCGACGAGAAAGTGCTGTCACCACCCCGCCTCGAATCGATCCCCCCGGCCGTGCGGTTCGTCCCGGCGACGGACGAGGCGCCATGCGACGGCGCGACCATCGAATGCGGCGCCTCATGGTCCGTCGCTACCGTCGGCGCCAGCGACCGTGCCCCGCCCGCTGTGTGTGGGGGTCGGTCGTCGTCGGACCGCACGCTCCGTTCTAGTGACGTTGCACTGCCGCTGCGGCCTGTTGACGAGAACGAGTGCGAGCTGTGGTTTGTCTGTCCCTGCCCGACACGGCCTGACTGCGGGTATGGGTTATTGTTCTTCGACACGTGCTTCTTGTGGCCCTTCTTGCCCTGTAGTCGCTTCGATTCGGAGCCGTTGCGGAGCTGGCCGTCGCTGGAGGAGTTTTTGAAGTTGGTCGTGAGCTTCTTTACCCACGTGGAGAAGGGACGACGCCGGCCCGGACGATCGGAGCGATCTGACATGATGTTAGCTGACTGCTGTTCGAGCTGCCATGATGCTCGAAGGCGTGTGCGGGAGTTGCTCGAGAGATTCTGGGCCGAGAAGAAGAGAAGAGGCGAGGGAAATACCATGAGGCGAGGGCGCAGGTTCCGTTGTCGCCATCAGGTTGCAATCGGGGATTGTCAGGAACAGGTGGAAAGCTGTCGTCGTGAAGGAGTGTTGCCTTGCCACGTCAAGACTTCAATGGGTTGTGCAGCAAGGAAGGAAGAAGCTTAAGTCAGGATGAGATTCAACGAGAGGAAGAACAGCTTCAGAAAATAGAGCGAGGGGTTGGGAGTCAGTAGGTCGCCTGATGATGTCGGTCTGACAATGGTACAGATGTGAATGGTTGGTTGGATGGTGTTGGTGGATTGGGATTGGGGGTGCTCGACGTTCTATTGTTAAGGGTCCAGACTCAGCCGCAGCCCGGTCCGGTGGAGCGACGAGGTGCAGCCGGGTATCCTTGTAGCCCGAAGATTCGTTAATCGGTGTTTCACCCCTGGATGCACATGGACACGCTGGTTCTTGGCCCGTTAACGCGACACGCTTCGTTTCTTTTTCTCGTCACAGCGCATCCATCTCTAATCCATCGCGAGCATTTACGGCGCCGGCGGGTGGTTGGCAATTTCGAGTGTCGAAATGCCAGTCTGCTCCTCGACAGGCTTCTCGTTCTTGCCCTCCGCCTTCTCCGCCCCAGCGGGCCCAGTGCCAGGGTGACGAGAGCCCTTGTCCTTGACCTTCTTGACCTTCTTGGCCTTCTCTTCCGGAGGGTAGGCCTTGAGCATGACCTCCTGCCACTCTTTCGACGACTCAAAGTCCTTGACAATCGGCTCCATCAGCTCAAGAAGCGCCTTGGTAACGGCCGGCTTCAGGATCTGGGGGCTCAGGATGTCGTTCTTGTAGTCCTCGTGCATCTTGGCAATGTCATTGTACACCAGCGGCTCAAGGTTGTCGCGGCTGCGGTCGACCACGAACTCGGCCTTACCGGACTTGAGTTCGCTCGCGGGAAGAAGGACGAACTCGGTGAAGGAGAGAACCTGGACGGTCAGCGGGGTTGGCGGTGCGATTGGCGCATTAACTTACGCCGTTGTTCTCGGGAATCTTGGGAACCGCCTCAGCCTTGCGAAGCTTCTTCGTCACGACGTCAGGACTGTCAAGAAGGTCGATCTTGGAGTCGGCCTCGCTAGAGCTCTGCTGCCGTTAGTGCGTTGCGCTTTCCCAATGCGTCGGGTATCGTACCATCTTGCCACCCTGAAGACCCGGCACCATGGGGTTCATCAGGTGTGCGCGCTCCTTGTAGCCCAGCTTTGGCAGCCAAGCCTTCGCGGCCGTGAAAAGCTTCCTTTGGTCTGCAAACTATGAGCATCGTGTTCTCAGGCCAGGGACACGCTACTAACCGACACCGCCAAACTGGCAGTCAGCCCCAAGGTACTGCTCGTCCAGCACCTGCAAAAGAGGGTAAAGAAGGCCAGACTATCATTCCATCAGCATCTTAGTCGTCTTCAACGAGGTGCCGAGCCTTACAAGAGGAGCATTGGAGGTCTGCTTGACAACCTCGGCGCCGGCTTTCCGGGCATCGTGCTCAGAAGTAATGGAACTGAGCTTGAAAAGGTCCATGACGTACTAACCCCAGAATCAGCAGCATTCCCACCTTGAATTGAATGTATACTTACATCAGAGGACTTTTGGTACTCGCTGCCAAGGACAAAGCGCAACCTGCAATGTGTGAGCTGGGATGACTTTGCGTTGCTCGGGTCAGAACAGTCCTACTTGGAGGTGTCGACGCCAACAGCCTTGAGCATAGACGTGATCGTGAAGCGGTAGTATTCGGCACGGTA